TGAGCTTACGGCTAGTGTGACTCACAGCACTCAAGGACAAACAGATAAGAGTCTCAGCTGACAGGTATAGTGCGCGGACCCGCCAGAAGACCACACTTTTCTCGGGCCATTATCTCCGTAACCGTTCAACTTTGGACATGGGTGTTTTGGGTTATATCGGCATACTTTAACATAAGGAACACCCTCCCGAAGTTTGGTCCATTCCTCCTGGGACACCCTGTATATGTGTGTGTGTGTGTGTGTAAAAGTCCCCAAAAAGATAAATAGCATACTGTCATTTCAATAGACATGTCCACCCTGATACAATGAACAAATCCATATGAGTCATCTAGGATGCCATACAAGATTCTTTGACAATATAAATGTTTGGCTTTGCCACAAAATGACCACTACTTCTGGATGTATGAAATGGTAATGGGCACACCACACTGTGTAGAAGCCAGAGTGTGAACACCTTGAAACAGCTACACATATGTCAGGCAACTGTGCCTCAATTGAAGGCATGTTAACACGATTTACTGCTTCCTGATGGAGCAATTCCCCTTAAAGGGCGAACTTCCACGCACAACAAATAATGTAAACAAGAGTTAATAAGGACTGCTACAGGAGAGCTTACCACACTTGTCTGTAAACTTAGATGGCAGCATGCCATCCATGAAATATTTTAAAAAAGGAATCATAATCCAACAAACCACAAAACAGCTTCTGCACCCATTCGAAACTAATGATTATATTGCATTAAAATAACAATATTTTACATGTATAAACTTAATACATCAGTACCTTGATTTTGCAACTGCCACTACCATCCAAAGTATAGAGTACAACAATGTTAAATTCTGTGTGGGTGTGTGTGCACTAAAGCCTGGAAGGTCTTGCCTGAATGGTTTGCAATTCATAACCTTGCTTGGTTCCAGCTTATAAATTTCTGTATAGCATGATAACACATATCTCAGTTCACATTCAACCTTGGCAGAATGATCATAGAAAGGATCATGGTTCCAAAATAACAACAATAATTAAAACCCTAGGTACTTGAGAGTGTAGCAAGGTATTTGCTTATGTATAACAGCTGAGACTGCATAATTTCGTAGATATTCTGGTTTATGTTTGTACTCCTATTTCTATGCAGATTTTGTGCAGAACATGATTGATATATTAGTCTCACAGCATGCAAACATAACATGGTGTAATTACAAACTTATTTCTCTTTAGCTTGTGTTGGATGAGGGGGCAGTGTCACCAGATTTACTGAAAATTTTTCATACCTGTCCCTCACTTGATAACATGTCTGTGTGCTATGCTGGCGATGGGGTCGGTGTCTGGGGTGGTACTGGCAGGAAGATGTACAGTGTTTAACACACAGTTCGGTGTAAGTTTTGTTTTCTTTTGGCACTATAGCCCCAGTTTAGGCCTTGGCCTACCACCAAATCGGTGTATGTTTTGTTTTCTTTTGGCACTATAGCCCCAGTTTAGGCCTTGGCCTACCACCAAATCGGTGTATGTTTTGTTTTCTTTTGGCACTATAGCCCCAGTTTAGGCCTTGGCCTACCACCAAAACACTCTCTGTTTCACTTTGGTTTACAAGATCTCAGACGTCCGGTAGGATTCCTTGGGCGGGTGATCAGCTCATCACAAGTCTCTACCTGTAGAAAAACACACGCACACACACACCAAACATTCATGCACGGAGTGGGATTCGAACCCACAATTCCAGCTTCTAAATGAGTGAAGGGAGTGCATGCCTGACCACTTGGCTACCGTGACCGGCTTGGTGTATGGGTGACCACGTGCGAATACTGTTAAAGGTGTACTGGAAAATTCCTGGACTAGGTCAAAAAAGAAATACTGACTTAACTTCTTCATTTTGTCTACCATCTCTTTCAAAACAGTCTCCTTGCAAACATATACAGAGTTCTCATAACTGTTTCCACATTTCAAGAGTGCCGTGGAAGACAGTTTCCTCGATGCTGTCAAGTACAACTTGTGATTCCCTTTGGATGTCAGATACTGTTTCAAAACATCGTCCCTTCAGTTTCATTTTCAAATTGGGAAACAGGGAAATCACAGGGGGCTAAGTGCGGTGGGTATGGAGGATGGGAAACAAAAACCACACTGTTAGTCATAAACTCTGTGGCTTTCAGGGATGTGTGGGTGGGTGTGTTGCTGTGATGAGGGGGCAATATGGCACACGTTCAAATTTTCTGTTGAGATCTCCTGGCAAACTCCATGACTGATCCCAATGGTGCCTGTAAGGTCATGGATTGTTTGGTGAGTCTTTGTGGACGAGTTCTCAAATTTTTCAACATTTTCTGTCATTTTGCTGGTGTTTGGTCGCCCTGAATGTTCGTCACCTTCAACTGACACTTGACCAGCCTTGAAATGTGAATGCCATTCAAAAACCACTGTCCCACTTAAAGAACGTTCTCCTAAAGCCTCATGCAGCATTTCAAGAATTTTGGCAGTGGATTCACCAAGTTTCATGCAAAACTCGATACATTGCTTGATTTTGCCATCCATCATACACAAAATGACACACGAAGTCGATAAAGCATTAGAGTAAAAACAATGCGTGTTCAGAGCACAGTGTCATATGGCAGACTGACGCAACAGGCTTTCAGAAGTGTGACCTTGGCCTCCCCTCTCATCTTCTTTCACTAATGCAATTACAACAATAAGTCTGGGAACTTTCTGATAGCACCACATATTGAATGTTTTTTTGTCTTTGTTGTGTTTATCTTTAAGTAGATTTATCTTTTTGTAACAGGGAGGTTCTTATGGTTGTTGACTGGTTCACGGCTCTGTGTTTCCCGGCGACCAGCACACAGCTGACTGAGAGTCAAATATGAATTTTGCAAATGAATGAGTATGCCTGATGGTCCATAATGTTTGGAATTAAGGGAAGTTATTAAATTTGTGGATGGCTTGATGGCATTATTTTTCACAGCAATCAATGCAGTTCATGTGTGGGAATGTGTTTATGATTTGTCAGCAGTGGGCGGCAGTTATCAACTCCATTAGTCATTTGTTCTGTTACAATTAGTGAGCACTGTGTTCTATCATGATGCGGTATACTTTAGAGCAATTTGCATTTCTGTATGACACTTATGCCAAATACAATTCTGCTAGTAAGCGCCGCTGAAAATTTTGTGATGAAAGAGTCCCAGGAGACACACAACTCACAATTTGGTGAATAAACTTTGATTAACGAGACTCTTAACAGACAAAAAACAAAAGAATAAGTGCCCAGTGCTCAATGTCTAGCTCAAAGAGACTGGAGTGTCACAGGAGCGTGCAAGAAGGGCAACACAACTACTGCAGCTTAAACTATATAAGACAATAGTAATAATTAGGGCCCAGATTTCTAGGACATGTCATATTTTCTTCCTAGGGTTTATTCCTATTTTTAAATGTAATTGCATACATTTCCGCTCATTCTTATTGAAATTACATCATTTTCATTGTGCATATAAATGCATATTTTAAAGTTTTATTGGTTTTACAGCATAACTTGGCATAATTTTGAAATAAGGTCATATTTTTGTCATTTTAGAATAAATTCCTTGATATAAGGTACAATTTTGGCTCCATAATGTTTTGTACTACAAAATAAATTTCAGACTGGACTGTTGCTCCGATGTGGCATAGATTTCAAGTGCATGAATTCATATTAAAAACCATATTTTTGACTGGCTTGTACTTGCAGTTACAAAGGCAAAATTTGTGGAATGCAACATTTATACCCTGGCTAGCTGGCTTTCCCCAGTCTCCGTCTTACTACAGTATATACCGATTAGTAAAATGGAAACTGGAAAAGGCTGGCTAGCCAGGCATATACCCATTCCAGCCTTTCTTTTTTGCTAGTGGGGTGGGACTGAGTCCCTTCACTGCAGCCACTTTTGGCCTACTGTACCAGGGCCAGATAATAGGTGAGGGTGATTGTGGAGCAATTGGTGAAGATTGGCAGGGGAAACCGAACTACTCGGAGAAATCCCACCACAGCACCACTTTGTCAAAAACAAATCCCACTTGACCAGACCCAGGATCGAACACGGGCCGCCGCGATGGGAAGCCAGCAACTAACCGCTTGAGCTATGGCATGGCCTATTCCAGTCTTGAAAGTATTCTATATATGTTGAGGGCCTTCAAACACTTCAGCTTGACTTTACAATGCCTAGATTAAGCACATGTAGTTCATGTTCAGTTTGGTGAAAAAGTGTTCAGTACCGATGAAGAGATATTTCATTACAAGCTGTGTGACGTGAAAGTTATGGCAGAAAAGCAATTTACTGTGCAGCAGCACTGTAAAACTTCTAAACATGTTAAATGTTTAAGCAGCTTATCTACAAAGGACAACAGACAAAGTTTGTTGTTTAAAAACAATTCTGCTACTTCTTCTTCTTCTTCTTCTTCTTCTTCAACGAACAATGGGTCAGAATTTTCAAAAGATTTGTGTCAATGGATGGTTTCTTCAAATATTTCAATAGAGAAATTACATAATCAGCACTTCAGAACATTTCTGGAGACATACACTTGTCATCCTACCCCAAGTGATCGACGTTAAGAAAAATTATCTCTCTAAATGTTATGAAGATATGTTAAATAAGATTCGAACATCTGTTGCTGACAACAAGATATGGGTTTCCTTGGATGAGACTTCTGACATAAATGGGCGGTATATCACGAATTACAGTTGGAACCCTGAAACAAGATCAACCAGGAGAGATATTTCTTCTTGATTGTGAAGTTCTTGAAAGTACAAAGCATTCGACTATAGCTGTCCTATTTGATAACTCCATGAACATGTTGTGGCTTCTCACAGTGGCGGTCCGGGTTTGATCCCGGGTCTGGTCAAGTGGGATTTGTGGTGGACAAAGTGGCGCTGGGGCAGGTTTTCTCCGAGTACTTCAGTTTCCCCTGCCCATCTTCATTCCACCAATTGCTCCATAATCACCCTCAACTATCATCTGAGGCTGGTACAGTAGGCCAGAAGCGGCCACTGTACCACGTGGACTCAGTCCCACCCCCACAAATTAAAAAAAAATGATGTATAGGTCATTCTTGGACAATTCTTTTGAGAGTTACAAAAGAAAAAAGACTCTACAGCTGGTTTCAGCAAGACTAAGCTACTGCCCACATTTCACGTACGTCTACACAAGCTTTGCCTGGTACTTTTGGGGACAGAAATATCAGCACTGGTATTTGGCAGGCACATTCACCCGACCTTAATACTTAGATATTTTCTTCTGTGGTTCTTTGCAGGGCAAAGTTTAAAACAGTAAACACCACCTGGAAGAACTAAAAAGACTATTCATAGGGAAATTGCAACAATTCCGGCACAACAGCTTTAAGGGTTAATCAGAACCCCTTCTGCTGGTGCAAGGAATGTCTACGTGTATATACTTATATACTTCATTCCAAACGTTACTGGCCACAGGCATACTGATACACTGGAAAAATTTGTATGCATCTTGCAGCCAGTGGTGCATCAGTTGCTATGAACTGGCCGAGAAAAGTAAGAACCTCCGTCTATATGTAGACGTAGAAATTTTCTTTGATGTTCATTACTAGCTTTCTTTGTGTGTTTAATTACATCCACTGTAGATTCCACTTAACCAAAACTGCATCTATATTTTAGGATGTGCTGCCAATGCCAGTTCTTCACTATTGCTTTTTATACCTCTTATACATTCTCTGTATCTAATGTTTAGTCACCTTTCTGTCTAACCGAAAAAGAACAAAAAAAATTTCTTATGAGAACCAATCACCTGACAGCAGGGACAGAGGCAACTCCAACAGTGTTATGTAAATTAAATTTACTTCAAACAAAGGGCAACAGGCAACATGTGTCTATAATCTGTCAAACATTATCACAGAGCTATAGAGAATCATTAGTTATCCTATAACAAATCTTCAACCTAGTGACACCTCTATGTTATTACATGGATACAGACTGCATGGGAGACAAACAAATGATAACCTTTAGCATTTATAGATCCTGGGAACTCTGTGATGTAGTACCAAAGCACTGCTTAGTGGACTGGACAGACAAAGAAAATGTGAAGGATTTTAGCTATATAGAAGTTACCGCAAACATTCAGTTTATACAGAATTTCATTTCATCTATACTAGATCTGCTCAAAAGAAAACGGAACTGGTACATCACAAGCAACATTCTACAAACTACAGTTGCCTAGACATTTCAGGAAAGAGAATCTTTCAGAATCTAGTCAACAGCGCAGTAGAGTTGTTTCATGTTCACAGAGATAGATATCAGACAGACAAGCAGAATTTCTGCATATTTGTGTCATCTGCCTAACAGTGCACATACAGCTCACCTCAGGTTCAGCCTTTATTTCTATAAATGTTATTGGGACAGGATCCTCTTCCTCTTCTGCATCTGAGACTGCCTCAGCTTTTATATTCATGACGTGATGTGCATCATGAGGCGTTGGGTATGTCTCACCATACGGACCCACTAAAACATTCTCCGAATTTGTACAGTTCTGTAAAAACCATCATATCCTTCTCAGAAATGGATGTACAACACCACACATTAAACAGCGTATGCTTTCCCTGTTATGGCTGTTTCTCATCACATCTAACTCATATGAGCTGTTTTGTACAGATGCTCTTCTGTACAGCTATCATGATCACTAGAAAGTGCTCGGTTCATAGCTCAGTGACCTTCCCAAGAAACTATCAGTCAGTGCAGCAGTACAGAAAATATCTCCTTTTTTGGTGCCTAAAAACTTCATAATGAAGAGCTCCACAACTTGTAACCTTCGTTCACCAAGCATAATTATATGATCAAGTCAAGGAGGATGAGATGGGCAGCTCATATAGCAGGCATGGGGGACAAGTGGAATGCATATACAATTTGTTGAGAAAGCCAGAAGGAAAGAGACCACTAGGAAGGCCTAGGCATAGGTGAGAAGATAATATTTAAGTGGATCTTTAAGAGACATAGGATGGGGTGTTGTGGACTGGATCCATATGGCTCAGGATAGGGACTTGTGACAGGTTTTTGGGAACATCAATAAACTTCCAGGTTCTATACAATGTTGGGAAATTCTTCAGTGGTCAAGCAACTGGTGGCTTCTCAAGGACTCACTCAGCTACATGAAGTTATTTATTGTACCTAAAAGCTAAAGTCAAGGAGGATGAGATGGGCAGCTGCTATAGCAGGCATAGGGGAGAAGAGGAATGCATATAGAATTGCTGAGAAAGCCAGAAAGGGCTCACTGCTGTGCTCATCATGGCTCCATATTCTGTGACAAACAGACTCAGTACAAACCCTTTCAAATTATTTCTTTAAAATCTATCTTAATAGCAACTTCCCATTTGCACTCAGCTCTCCCAAGTGGTTTTCCTCTCTCTGTATGCATTTCTCACTGATGCATGTGCACTACATGACTTACCCACATCTCTCTCCTTGAACTCATTGCTCTCCTACATAATATCCCAAACCGTTATCACCCAAGTGTAAGGAACTCCCCACATGGATTCTCCTATATAATATCCCAAACCATCATCACCCAAGTGTAAGGAATGCCCCACATGGATTATGCAAATAAACAGAAGCGGGTCACAATATATTTAGTTTCTTTGATGAAGAGAACTGACATATGAAAATAAAACTCTTGTCTGTGCACACAAGCATGAAACAAAATACTTTCTCTCACAGCAAGAAATGTTTCTTCAGCTCCATACAGTACAATTCTTGCCACTCCTGCTGCAAGAGAATGCAGAATTTTCATCACATGAAAAATATCTTGTGGGATTCATTGGAATTAGCTCACAAGAGTTCTAGTAATCTGAATTCTTGGTTCTAACATGTGTTAACTAATTCTGAACAGTTCTGTGACTCCCTATGGATTTTTGCTGCTATAGAATTTCTCTCAAATACGGTTCAGTTTACACAAAATTTAACTTCATCTACATCAGAACTGCTTCAAAGGAAATGGAAGTGGTAAATCACAAGCAGCATACATTCAACAAACTATAACTGTCTGGAGACACTTCAGAAAAAGGCCTTCAAAGGCGAGCAGCACAGTGGAGTTGTTCTATGTGCACAGACAGACAGATGGAGATGAGATAGACAACTGGAATTCCTGCCTATCTGTGATATCTGCATAACAGTGGACATACACAAGCATACAGCTCACCTCAGGTTCAGCCTTTACTTCCTGAACTGTTATTTGCACAGGATCTGCTTCCTCTTGTGAGTCTGAGACTTCCTCAGCTTTTACATTTATGACCTGGTTTGCATCATAACTTGCTGGGTATATCTCACCATAATGACCAATTAAAACCTTCTCTGAATTTGTACAGTTCTGTAAAGGCATCACATCTTCTATCAGTCATGGCTGTACAATATCATACTAGGGTGTACCCAAAAGAAACCAAACTTATTTTTTTAAACTTATTTATTCAAATTTTAAGCACAAACCTTCAATCCCCTTCAAAGTACTCTCCACTTACACTAATACACTTGTCTAGACTTTTATTCCATTTTTCAAAACATTGTCTAAATTCATCTTTTGAGATGCTTGACAGCGCCTCCGTCGTTTTTTCCTTCACCTCAGCAACATCAGCAAAACGCTTTCCTTTCATGTCTCTTTTCATTCGAGGAAACAAAAAAAAGTCGCACGGGGCCAGGTCGGGTGAGTATGGAGGGTGAGGAACAGGGGTCATACCATTTTTGGTCAAGAATTGTGGTACAGACAGGGCTGTGTGAGCAGGGGCATTGTCATGATGGAAAAACCAGTCACCCGACTGCCACAAATATGGCCACTTCTGCCGCAAACTGTTGCGCAATCTTTTCAAAACTTCCAAGTAGAAAGCCTGGTTAACTGTCTGACCCTATGGAACAAACTCTGAATGGACGACTCCTCTCACATCGAAAAAACAAATCAGCATTGTTTTCATGTTTGATTTCACCTGACGAGCTTTCTTGGGGCGAGGCAAACTTGAAGTCTTCCACTGGCTTGATTTTTGCTTTGATTCAGGATCGTAAGCATAGCACCAGGTTTCGTCACCGGTGATAATTTTTTAAAAAAATTTTGATCATTTCGGGACTCTTCTTTCAAAGCACAGCATGCTTCCATGCGACCTTGTTTTTGTTCAGCAGTCAGCAGTAGTTCTGTTCCACTTTTCCCGAGCAAAAATCAGAATTGCACCGCCACACCCTGTTCACGAAAATCAGCCATTGCAAAAACGACGATCACACAAAACAGTTGTCACTATAAACTCTGCAGAAACTAGTCCTTACCATCTGAAGCAACGGTAGTCGGCTTATCGACTCAGGAATGTTAGCTCTATGCGCTCATAGCGGCAAAACGCGGTACTACAAAAGCTCTGCCCACAAAAAAATTAGTTTGGTTTCTTTTGGGTACCCCATCGTACATGAAACAATATATGCTCTCCTTGCTGTAGCTGTTTCTCATTACATCTAACCCATAACAGCTGCTCTGTACAGATTTCTTCTCTACAGACTTCATAATATTAGGACGTGTTAAATTCATAATGCAGGGACCTTCCTGAGAAACCTATGGTCCCTGTGGAAGTACAGACAATACGCATCTGCTCTTTATGGAATCTAAGCACTCATTACTGTGTTCACACATGCCCATCATAACTTTGCATCCTGACACAAACAAACCCAGTCCAAAACCCGCATAACTGTGTCTTTAACAAACTCCATCTTCACAATTGTCTCCCAAGTGGTCTCATTCTTTCAGGTCTTCTGTCATTTCTCATTCTCACATGCATGCTATATGACCTACCCATATCACGATATGAACAGCCGTTCATAGGACCTGAACCAGCTTGCAGCAGCTCAATTGGAGTTGCCAAAAAAAAAAGCGGTCATGGACTGGACTGATAGAAATCATAAAAAATACTGGGAATCCATAATTTGATTCTGACAGGCAACGGGTTTTATAGCAGGACTCTCTGCCAGAAGAACAAAGGATCTGTTGAGATTAAACAGAGATCAACTAAAATGGGTGGTAGGATTACTTACCAGACACTGCCACCTATGATTGTGGGGCCATAGCTTATTTAAGATTTCATCACTTGGGTCAGTTTTTTATGGAACCAAGTGACTTTTATAACACCCCCATAACCAGGGTCCTACACTTTATTAAAAGCGTAGGATTAATAAAGGGCTAATCCAAGGGGAAGCACAATAGATCATTGAATGTCACAGTGCAGGGGCTGGTTTTTATGGTCCACCCCTTACTTAGTTACTTACATACATACCCATATCACTCTCCTTTAATTGGTCCCTCTCCCACATAATAATGCAAAGTGTTACAATATAAAGAACCATGTAAACTCCTCAGATGGATTATGAAGCTTGGCATAAAAAGTTTAGTTTCGTAAGATATGAAAATTGACTGATGATGATAAAATTCTTGTCTGTGCACATGAGCACAAAACACTCACCATCCTTTCTGTCACAGTAGGAAATGTTTCTTCAGCTCTCTGTAGCAGGATTCTCGGCATTCCTGTTGCAAGAGAATGCAGAATCTTTCATAACCTTGAAACTTTATTTTATGTGTGGGTGGGAAATGAATTGATTTACAAGAATCCTAGTGATATGGCATCATATTTCCAACAAGTGTAGCTGTACCTTGCTCTGAATATTCGCCCATGTCTGTAAGGAAAGATACTAATAATTGTGAACACACACACACTGACATGGACTTCTTCCTTCCCACAGTAGAGGCCGGCAGAGATTACGAAGCTTGGTGTCTTTTATTACAAGTTGTGTAGTCTAACAGATTGTTGCTCAGTTTTGAAGGCACCTAGTTCACCCATTTTGACTGAACCTCTTGCTTCCATAACGTCGGTAACTGGCTACCAGACTGCGCGGAGTTACGTCCTAGAAACAGCAACCTACTCTACAAATTTACATTGCAGAGCTGCAAAAATGCATTTGTGTACCCTGCAACTTCAACCATTTCAATATATACCATCAGCTCTCACGACCCTCACTACTTCCTTATGTCGGATTGGTATGTGTAACAGGCGAGAAAGGGCATAAAACAGTAAAAATGTGCATTCTACTAGAAACATCACCCTCAGAGCGGGCGTTGCGAAGTTTATCAGAATCCCAACTAGAACTTGCAACAGCGGAATAATATCACGAACACCATAATTTGTCAAAATATGAGGAAACTGAATTTCTCTCGAATGATCCTAATGATTCCTTAAAGAACTTAAAGAATACACACAACTTACACACTTCCACTAATAACTTACTGCTCGCTACCGACCACTACCGACCGCTACTGGGATGGTGGTCACTCGTGGTCAGCCGACACAAAAGGCAAGAAAGCACTGGTGTACATGAACTTCATTAATCCGTGCTAGACTGTTATGTGTAGTGGATAATCTATTTTCTCTCAAATCATTGTGCACGCGTAGGGAAGGTTGGAAATGTGTTTCAAGTGTTGTCTTAATAAGTTTCTTCTTGCAGTTTGATATATTAGACGACGGAGAAATCCTGAAGCTGACTTTATTTTATTACGGCCATATTTAATTTCTTTAAATTCAGCTGAATGTAAGGGCAATGCTGCTATTTATTAAGTGATGTGCTGAACAACGCGAAAGTCAAAATGTTTAATTCAGCATTAATTAGCTCTGGTGGAAATAATCAGAAATTGGAGCTTTGTAGCTTTTACTATATGCTGTGTAGAGAGTTGTATGGTGCTCAGATTTTGGTATTGGTTCAAAGGATGTCAGGAGGCTTGCCGTTAGTTTGTCATGCTCTGTTTTCTGGGCATGAAATGTTGTACATAGTAAATAGCCTAACCAGATTTTAATAATGAGGGTGCGTTAATGTGATATACACCAAACTGGTATCCAGGTTTGGCAAGAAGAGCCATCCTGTGAGTTTAAGAAATGTGATAAAATGTTGCAGTAATTGATTGTTGAGTTATGAAAGGTACACAGTAGATGGAAGTGGTAATTGTATATCAGGGGTCAGATTATAATTACTGTGAGGGAAGTAAGGATCAAATTTTTGCCTTCCCTCCCTTTAATATTAGGGTTTGTTTTTTTTTCTGAAATAATGCAAATCTAAGGTTAGGTTTTATTAACATTTTTAAAAATAAGTCTATGATGTTGGGTGAAATGTGCCCCACTATTGCCTCTGCCAACTAGAATATTGTCGAATTAATTATAGCTTTCAGTTCTAATGTTATTGTGATGACTTGTGACTTACTACCAAGCACAGATTACCACCATACAGGTATGCAACTCAGTTCCATGACACTGCTCACTGCTCAATTTGCCACCTCCTTCAGCCAGTTTTGTGCTTGATATACTCTTTGACCCTGAAGATGGAAGTGATGGTTCTCCAAAACGTTGGGCTGTCTATGAATTACATGATCACAACACACAAGACTCTACCTTTCTTAGTTGTACCAGTTTCTTGTAACTTTACTACCTCAAATTTTAGAATGCTCCTGATCTTAAAAATCATATTTCAGCAGCTTAAATATTTTTATTTTTGTATTGTCCAAGTCTTGGCGTTATCTCTTACAGTCCTGAGTATTAAGAGTTATGCATTCCAGCTTTTGCTATAATGTTATTTGTTCTCTAGAATTTTATTAATTTAACATCCTAATGTACTGAATATGGTATCTGAGACAGTAAGTTTTTTATTTTTACTTGTTTGTTTATTAAATTCATTAACTTGGTTTATCATTTGAGGCACTGCCACTTTTAATTCATACAGGCTTTATCTCTGAAGGTTGTCATGTTGTTGACATTTTAAGACTAGTCTCTTCTGATGTGTATTGTGATGTATAGACCCATTGCTAGGCAGCGGCTCCATTAAACACCTTCCAGTGGAGACAGATTTTTGGTAAACAGCCCATTGCTAGGTAAACATGTTCCAACAATTACACAAAAAAATTGGAGGACGTCCATTGCTAGTCAGTGGCTGTGCTTTCTGTGAGGTCAGACCAGAGGTCAACGATAACTTACAGTTCATTTTAAGTCAGATTAGTTCCACTGGAGTGTCTAGTCAGAAAAAGACGAAATGTATTAAATAGTGAGTTGTGAGGAATTGTGTTAGAATTGAGAGATGTAGATTGGAAATCAGGGAGTTGGCAGTCGAAGGTGATAAAGAAGGGAATTAAACTGTGCCAAGAAGACTGTAGTGTGAGTTGAAGGCTGTACATGTGCTGTAGTTACAGTGATATTTGAAGTTATGACAAGACTGATAAATCCGTTGCCAGGAAATGATAGTGAAGGCTAGTGAAAGCACACCGAGAAGATTTAGTATGGAGTAATTTGTAGTTTGAAAATCAGCAGGAGTGTTATACTTAGTTGTAGTTACAACTTGTGAGTGATCAATAAATCCAATTACCAGTCTGAACCCTGTCTGTAGGCACTAACACATGGGATAATAAGTATGGAGAGTGGATGCTACCTGTTGTAATCACAGATAAATTTGCCAGTTGTATAATATTGTCACTTCTCTGAAGTTCCAATCAGACATATACTGACACACAGAAAATATGACAGTATTGTAATCAATGCTTCAGTTTTTGTTATCACTTTTTTGCCATACTGCGGCCATGACACATGCAGTGGAAGTGATCACATAACATCCTGGTTTGTTCTTGAACGTATGTCTATTCACTCCTGTTGCTTCGTACACTGTACGATTGTTGGGGTTGTTCCCTTGCTAGAGAGTACCTGTTCTCCCACCAGTTTGAGTGTTTTGTAGCAGAACCTTAACTCCCATCTTATTACATACTGTAATGGTGGAAGTGCAAAAGAAAAGTAATCATCCAATCCTTAAAGAAAAACTTGCCATTTTAGAATGCTGTAATAGGTTACCAAAAATACTGAGACATTATTGAGAGGGCAGTAAAACAAGATGGAAACTTGGACCTGTAAGGGAAATCATAATGGTAAAGATGATCAGCATTAAAAGTTTGGTTTACTAATGTTCGCAAATAAGATGGCCATATTAGTATTCCCCTGGTGCAGCAGGAATCAGAAAAACTTGCTGAAATGATGATTTTTCATTACTTTCTCAGTGAGAGACTGGATTGACAACTTAATTTTAAGTGCATAATTGTAAAGCTTTCTGTCCACTTCCAACATTTTAGGTACACATTTCTGCTCAGCATCAATAAGCAATGCTAAACAGATGCATTTTTTTTCATCAGTATTGCTAACAGTTGGTTATTATTATCAAGAATGCCATCTTCTGGGATATGGCACTGTGTAGATCTTGTTTGAACCTATGTTTCGGAGGAGTGTATCGCCTCCATCTTAAGGGTAGAAAAATCCGTGAGCGAGGAACCAGCATGAGTAGGTGGCTGAAGACTGAGTCACCAGTTGAAAACACACAGCTATGTAAGAACAGGAAGGGAGGGAGAGTGGGCCACATGGGAAATCAATAGAGGAGAGGGTAAGGGTCTGTGGAGTTGGGCCAGCAGGTAGCAGCCCAGAGCCGGTATAGGATCGTGTTGGGGGGAGTGGGGGGCAGGTCTACCAAGAAAGCATTGACCCAATACCCCCAGTGTTATGCCACCGAGCATGCATTGACCTGTGTAGCCTTGTAGATATGGTGTCATGTTCCGGATGTTTCTTTAGGGAGCAAAAAAGAGGCTTCCATGACTTGCTGAGGCAGAAACCCATCTCTCTGTTCATATTGTTGGGATGGAGCTCAGTTTCAATGGCCTTCCTAACGATGTTATCCATGTATTGGATCATAGTGGCAAGGATGGAGGTATTGTGAAATTGAATGTGATGTCCCAAGTCACTGTGTTCAGCCACAGCTGACTTATCCGGATATTCAAGATGGATGTACCGCTGATGCTCCAACCTCGTGTCCATGGAACAACCTCTCTGCCCAGTGTAGCCCTTGCTGCACTCACAGGGATTCTATATACACCCGCTTTTTAATGTTGCTGTTTCATTCATAGGTTGGAGTCCATGCCAATTTCTGACTTCCTTAAGAAAAGGATTGTGGTCATGGCACTAATGAGTATGTAATGTTTATGTGTTTAACTTACATACATTTTCATAGTAACCATGGTAAAGAAATATTCTGTGTGAGTGCAGGAACCGAGCTATATTATATATATTGTCACACTCTAGAATGTGACTGTAGATGAGTTTGGATTAGTGAATGGATTTATTGACCACTTATACACACGACTCTTAACTATAAACAATTACAGCACCACCGCTAATCTCCACAGTTCACAAAACACCACCTCACACACTAAGCCTTTTTTAGCCTACTGTGTCGTAACCAGCCATTCCCCAGCAACGGCTTCTAACAGTGGAGATTCTTCAGCTTCATGTGCTGAAGTCCTTTCTTCACAGCCTCCTGTACAAAACTTTCTCTCAGCTAACTTTGTCCCTTGCTTATAATATCTTGGCTTGGACCACATATAAAACACCATGTTTCTAGTGTTGTAGTCCAGCTGTTGCAGTATTAAGAATCTGCTAGCAATGAGAATGTATTTACTCAGCCATTGCCCAGAAACGGTTACTTTTTACAGAGTTACTGCTTAGCATCAGGTCTGTACCCCTCATTATGTAACCACCACGAACAACAAGAATTCTGCCTCAAACTAGAGTACAGATTTTTCTGGAAGGGTATACTGGTATATCATAAATATATTGCTTCTCCGAGTCACATACTAATTATTACATAATTATTTGGTCGGTCATCTAAAATTGAGCTATACTTTATTAATAATAAAATTTAGAATATTATATTTAAGCATCCTGTTACACTCTACACAATATGTGACACAAACTCCGTCCTAAGTGCAACAATTTATTGTAGTTCTTTCATCTTCCTTTCATCTACACTACATGTTTCAGCCATAAATGGCCATCATCAGGTGTATACTCTCACGTAGCTGCTACACTGCATGTAGTTTAAAATTTAAAAAACAGTAGTCTTCCCAATTGTTCATTTCTCCATTGCTAACAGTTTCGATATATCAGAATCCTCCCCGCTGATATCTATCAGATATGTACAAAATCTTTGTTAATCTACACACGTCAATTTGATTTTTAATAACTCACTTTTAAAATCTTCAATTTCAATTTAAAAAATTTTTTAAATTTTTTTTTTTTTTTTTTTTTTTTTTTTTTTTTTTTTTAATATTTAAAATTCTCATGGTTACCCGCCTTATGTCTGTAGTGCTGCAGTGGCTACTTCTTGTGTAGCAGCTCTGTGAGAGTATACATCTGATGATGGCCATTTACAGCCAAAACATGTAGTGTAGAAGAAAGGAAGACGAAAGAACTACAATAAATTGTTTCACTTAGGACGGAGTTTGTGTCATATATTATAAAATCTAGATTGATTATAATCAATCTAGATTTTATAATATATGACACAAATGGCAGATAATTATCTGCCATTTTGATATCCTCCAATTTGAATGGTATGCCATAATTTCGGACAGATTATTTTGTGAAATGTGTGTTTATAATCCATTTCTAATACATTGGGTGTTTCTAAGATAAATTCTGTTTGCTTTTGTGTTAGTTGTCGAATAGTGAAATGGTCTTGACAGTTCAGTGTTTATTGCCGTAACTTGAATTTTTCTCGCCACTACTTTGGCATCCATTTTGTACATAGAATTTCACTCTTATTTTTCTATAGTAGTACCTGTGTTACCTTCTGTCCTTTTGTAAGTAGGTGTGACAAACTCATTCCTTCAGAATTTATCTTGCATCCAAAGAAATTCAAAACTTCTGATATCTGTGTAGATGATAAAAGCCTAAGGCAGTGTTGTCACCTGTTATAATAGGACTGCCAAGTGGCAGTGAGTTCTATTCATCACTGAAATTGTGATTTCATATTGTAACGTGTTTCGTTACTGAAGACATCATAGAGATTGTTAATTGGTTTATTCAACAACCTACAAGTAACGGCTACAATTAATTATAACAGTGTTGCGGGTTTTCACAATTTATAACCCGATTCGCAAATCAAATCACTCTGTTGTCAGTAGTCTACACGTTTTCACAGTATGGGATCTATACAAGTCCAACTGTATCACACACTCCCAATTATTACTCGGTTATCACGCATCCATAACTTGTAACTCGCCACTGGCTAGATTCCAACTCAACTCGTAGGCTGCTGCCTTGAGAACTCACTTCGGCGGCTGATACACTTTTAACTCACAACAACAACTGAACTTGGCAACAGCCACATTTGAACTTGCTTCGTAGGCAGTGTGGTTCACTTATATAGTTGCAGTGCTTGCCTGTTACGCAATGAGTGCCACTGTTGCCTGGTGCCATGTCTTCACCGCAGGGAGAGGGGCGGGGTGTTGACTTGTCTATTACCATAGGGTGACGTCAGCACTACGATGCCGCCACGTACCGCTGGGGAGGGAGGGGTTGCCCTCCATTGCACAACATGTCACAGTATATTAGAGCGGTTTCATTGGAGGAGCTGTGTATAGAAACTGTAGTCAGTGATGGGAATGGTTCATTTTGAACTTCCCTCCCATTTCTTTCACTTAAAATAATTCAGAATAATATGTAGCTATGCATTAGTGCAAGGGAAATTTACAGTGTGCCTGCCAGTCTTTATTTTGTGTTTGGGAGCCAAGGCACTCAACCAATCAAGTGTAATTGTTCAAAATGTGATTGCTGGAGACTGAATAAAAGAGAGGTTAGGTATTTTTGAAGCTTGTTTTATAAGTAACCTTACCAGAAGCATTCCCTCTGAATAACAGCAGTGTGCTGTGCATGTTGTTATTATGTCAAGTTTAGTATTTCAGTGTAATTGTGTCTGTCTTTCCAGAACTTCTCTACTTGTTGAGTTAGGTATTTTTGAGGGTTTTTTTGTTTGGTACAGTTTCCTATGTAAGTTTAAATGTGCTGTATAGAGGGTGTCCCAGGTGTTTGGTGCCATACTTCAGGAGCATTCTGATGGTTCCATATAGAACAACTTCGAAGTAGGAATCCATTTCCACAAACGTAAAATAGCAGTGCTATGGCAGCATTTAAAATCATTTCGTTTAAACTTGGTGCCTCAATGTCGAATGGCAGGCACAGACATGCGCAGGATGGCCCAGGTTCGATTCCTGGCAGCGCAATATTTTTCTCTTCTCCACAGCATCCAAACCAGCTCTGGGGCCCACCCAGCTTCGTATCCAGTGGTTACTGGGTGCTCTTTCCTGGGGAGGTGTGGGGATAAAGTGGCAGGGGCATGAAGCTGACCACTCACCTGAATCCAGTGCCAGGTTCAAGGTTCCACACCCCCATACATCTTCATGGCATAGTGCTTAACTAATTAAGAACAGGGACAACTTTACCTTTTACCTTTAATAGTAAAAATTTTCTATACAGAGACATGTATGTATAGCATACGTGTAAAGTATTTCCATGTAGTATAGGAGAACTTTCTGATGATGGCAAAAACATATGAAGGTGTATTTATTTGTTTTTATATAAAACTGGTTGTGCTTGATGGAAATACTGTTCATTTTAATATCAAACAGTGTAATTGACTGAGGTGTCTTTTATTAAGATAAAGATTTGGTGTTCACATTTTTCTCTGCTAGTTACTGTTATCAGTTAATTTGCTGTTACTGATTATATAGTTATGTTTATGCATGCAGGAACCATTTCTTTTATCTGACTGTATGTATTGTTTTATCGCCATTATACACAATAAGTGATGCAAGAAAATGTGATTTTGTATACCTTCCACACTGTGAAAACTGTGATTTAATGTAAGAAAGTGCATTGCTCTAGAGATTCACTGTGTTTTGGTACAGATCAGTTGAATTAAATGCCATCTAAATCATTGTTTGATTGTCTGAGGTACTGTCCACTTTTGTCTGGTGAATAATATGGCAAGGGAATAGAGTTGCATAGACCAGCATTCAGTGTACAAGCATTAAACATGCTACATTTGGTATCATGTACACTACACTGTACACTAAAAAGCAAATGATTTGTGTACCTTCTGGCAGTGTTATCAACTAAGCTGTATTTACACTTCTTCAGTGATTCTCTTCAAGTGCGTAAGTTATGTAGTGCAAAATAATAAATTACTGGATGTTAGCGGGTGATTAATTGAACAGGGAAGAGTATGGAAGGGAGTATGATATTTGAGGTTCTGATATTGATGACTGCTGAGTACTGTGATGTGGGATCTGATGTTATTGAGCTGGTAGATGTTTATTGACTGGCTGCTTCTTGAGCTTTCAAGCATTTCTTGGAGGTTTTGAGAGGAAGATTTTAAGGGGAATCTATGGAGGAGTCCAAATTGATGGTGTCTGGCAGAAATGTTACAATAAAGAATTATATAGGTTATTTAATGATGTTGATATAATTAAAAGAATTAAAATAAATAGACTGAGAGGACAAGACATGTTATAAGGAGAGAAAAGGAAGCAATTGTAAAAAGAATAATGTTCGTAAAACCTGAAGGGAAATGGAAGAAGGGTAGAGCAAGATTAAGATGGATGGATAGTGTGGAGAAGGATTTCAGAAAATTGGGTATGGTTAAATAGAAAACAAAGACACAAGATCAGGATGGCTGGAGAAAGGTTTTAGAGCAGGCCAAGACCCACAAAGGTCTGTAGTGCCAATAATTATAATTAAAAGATGTTTACTGACATTTCTCCAAAATATCAGTAAACGTCTACCAGTCTACATGGTGTCACATCCTAGAGGTGAAGGTACTCTGTCAATTTCAGCCATGATAGCTGATCTCTGGGTCAGTATTTGAGTCTGCAGTATCCAAAAGATTCTCTTAGATTTGAGGTTCTCACAACAATTGCAATGCAGAATGTTTTTGTTTTTTTTTTGTGGTATGTGAAGTGGTGTAATCTGATAGCAGTGGAATGTATCATCACCATTTTCAGCATCAAAGAATAAGTCAGGCAAATAGCCAGCAAGAAGTAGGTGGCTGCTCCTCAGAAGCTAATACTCTCAGATGTTATCAGGCATCCTGACTCGGTGTAGTATTTGGTCTGAGCTGTTAGTTTGTAAAAACTAAGATAATTTTAACAGCCTGATGGGAAAAGAAGAAGTACTACAGGACACTGATGTTTGTGTGAAGGGCTGGATCTGAAAAGCAACCAGTTTATTTGTTTTGCAGATTTATGTCAATACAGCAAATGACTGTTGTTTTTCAGTGGTAATTTGACTGTTGACAATGCGGAGAAAAAGTGACAGAACAAAGGAGAAAGAGAAGTCATCTCCAGAGAAAAAGACAGAGAAGGCAACAAGGCGATCACGTAGGCATTCAAAGCGGAGAAAGAGATCATCATCGGTGTCTGAACATGACGAATCTGCTCCAGAAGACGAGACTTCATTGAAGACTCATGGTGACACAGAAGAAGAACCAAAAAGTGGAGGATGTGAGGAAGATGTAGACCAAGATAATACTGATGCCAAGGAAAAAGATGTTGAAGGTGAAACGTCAAAGTGTTCTACTAGTCGAAGGTCCAGTAAGAAACAGACCACAGATGAAGTGGGAGGTTCAAAAAGTCAGGCTAGTTGTTCGACTGATGCTGACTGGAAAGAAGATAAATCGTTCTGGGAAGCTGAGGAAGGCAAAGTGAGTATCAATTATGTAAGGACATCTTTGAAAATTACCTGCCCCGCCATTTTTCGCTGGATTCAATATGTAGAATTATTTTGACAGCTTCTATGTCTGTAGTTCAGAGGAACATTTTGAGGTGGAAATGATTCCTTTGTAAAATAAATTACAGACTTTTAACCCATGACGTATAATTATTTATGGTTTTCTTAATCTCTGCCATAGATAATGGTGGAGTGCAGGCTAGTCTCAATTAAGGGAGACTCAACTAAAATCTACCACAAAAGCTAATAAAACCTTAACTTGCAATTATTTTTGTTATGACAGCTGGTATCCCTTTACCATTAAAATCTGGTGTGATGACTTAAATATGCATGACTGCATGGGATTTATGTCTCTGGGCTTTGCTGATATAGATATATATATATTATCTTCACATAATTTTTAGTGTCTATTTTTATGTACTTATAGATGTGTTTATTTTACTATTTAATTCCTTTAATATTCAGTCTTTTGCAGTTAAAGATGGATCCAACTTAAAATATTTATTGAGTATAACATAACTCATAACAAAACTGAGCTGTATGGCAGAATATAACATCAATAAAAATCTAATATGATTAATCAAACTTTGAACCTATTAGGCAGGGCCGCGCCATAGCTCAAGCGGTTAGTCGCGGACTTCTCACCGCGGCGGCCCGGGTACGATCCCGGGTCTGGTCAAGTGGCATTTGTGGTGGACAAAGTGGTGCTGGGGCAGGTTTTCTCCGAGTACTTCGGTTTCCCCTGCCAATCTTCATTCCACCCATTGCTCCACAATCACCCTCACCTATCATCTGGGGCTGGTACAATAGGCCAGAAGTGGCCATAGTACAAGGGACTTAGTCCCACCCCACTAGCAATAAAAAACCTATTAGGCGGCAGACTTTCTAAGAATTTGGCTTAGTTTGTCTGTTATGGATATTACAAATCAGTCTCTTACCATCTTTGAATCAGAAGTTTATGGGTTGTCATTATGAAATTTGTCCAGGATCTTATTAGAGCTTTCATTTTCTTCCTGATGATAAACAGTACAATATATTGTCTCATGAAATACATTGTATTGTTGTAATATTTGAGGTTTTCACGGCAGTGACTATAAAGAGAGCAGTCTTCTGGGATGTGGTGCCATGTAGGTATTGTGTTAACCGACGTTTCAGAGGAACATGTCGCCTCCATCTTCAGGGTAGAAGAAAATCCGCAATCTATTTGCACTTGCTCACACCGGTTCTTCGCTTGCGGATTTTCTTCTTAACACACTACCTACATGGTGCCACATCCCAGAAGAGTTCTCTCCATTCTATTGCTGTTTCTTGCTTGGTCTTTCATGATTCATACTTCATTGCTGTGTGGTGGTGATGGTCTAGGCTGATAATGGTTTTCAATTAGGTGCGTGCTACCCAGAGTCTTGATGTAACTAAGTTGTTTGTTTAGATTATAACATCATAATTTGGAACATTAATCTTTATCCTGCATTTGTAGATCACCATTAGAAAGCATTTTGTCACTTTTGAAGTATCAGCCAATCACGGTGGTCTGTTGTACCACGAGACATTTGAGGTTCTCATGTCACCAACTGGGATATGATTCTGTGTAGCTTGGTAGATTGCTTACTGATGTTTTAGAGTAGTGTGATGCTTCTGTCTTCTACCCAGAAAATGATGGCGCTATGTTCCTCGAAAATATCATTAACAGTAAGCTGTACTGCATGCTCTCACATTGCAGAAACCAAGTTATCTTGTGATGAACTCTTGAATATTCACATATCTTGTATTGTTACGTGTAGAGTGAACTGTCAGAACCAAGACACAAAGAAAAGGATGGGAAAAGTTCTTTGTGGCAAGTGAAGAGTTCAAATGGTAGTGGAAATAATGGAGGTGGTGAAATTAAAAAAATAAAATTGTGTATAGTGAGACCATCAGAAACTTCTTCGGAACCATGTCCACGTAGACGAAAGAGGTATGGAATTATATTTTGTCTTTATACGTGTTGCATTTCTGTTGTGAAAAGAACAGCATAATTCTTTCTGAAGTGTGAGGTTCTCAGAGTGGTGTGATGCTGTATATTCTGGTAGAAAGGTACTGCTGCTTCAAAGGAGCCTTCAGCCTCATCTTCATTGCTGAAGATTCAGATACTGTAAAGATGGAACGACATGTTCCTTTGAAATGTTGGTATATCTTTCCACCTGACCGTATGACCTCACAACCTTCAAGATGATAATTTTTATTATAATTCTTAACCAAAGAGGTTGCTGTAATGGTAATGCTTGCTTCCTACATTCTCAGTTCGAATCTTGGCCAGGACACTATCGATTGTGACTGAATTTTTTTTTGGTGGTTTTCCTCAGTCCTTCCCAGACAAATACCAAGTTGGTACCTTATTTGGGCCATGACTGCTTGCTTTCAGACCTTTTCCAATTCATCATCCATCAATCATTGCAATATATTCTGCATTACTGAAAGAGTTGTTAAATAACCTCCCTCCAAAATTATCACAATTATATTAACCTGTTATGAAATTGAAACAGTTTGTAAGTATAAGTTGAAATTTTGAGTTTGAGTTCACTGCATATGAAATACTGCAACATTTCGACTTGTGTTCATTTTGAAGTATGACAATCTGCCAGATCATACTTTGTTTCACAATTAAAGTTGTTGGATTCAGTTCAGCATTGTATCAAAGTGACATTTTCGCAGTGTTTTACTCATCTTAACAGGAGATCAGTGAGGTATCATTATTTGAATATTAGATTCACTTTCAGTTCTTTTCTTTTTGATTTTGAAGTTATTGTACTCAATCTAACATTGTACAGGTTGGTCTAGAATTAAACACAGATGCGTTAAGTANATATGTAGGTAAGTCAATAAGTAAGTTACAAATGGATATAGAACTTAAACAAATAAGAGTACTGATTTGAAAAATGCTTTTATTTCTCAACATAATCTCCCTGTACATTGAGGCACTTGTCCCATCATTTCACAAGCCCCTGAAAACCAGCAGCAAAAAATTCTTTGGGCTGCTGTCAGAACCAGGTGGTGACTTCCCTTTCTATAGCTTCATCGTCAGGAAAATGTTCAGGCGAAAGATGATGTTTAAGAGGGCCAGACAAGTGGAAGTCGTTTGGAGCAAGACTCATCATGGTAGCAATTGAGATGCTGTAATGCCAGACCCATTCTTTGCATTTTGTATTGTGGGGTCAGCATACGCAGCATTCATCGTGCACAGACTTTGTGGAAACCTAACCTGTTATGTGACTTCCATTTGTTCAGCCCTCTTAAACATCATCTTTTGGCTGAACATTTTCCTGATGATGAAGCTGTAGAAAGGGAAGTCACCACCTGGTTCCGACAGCAGCCCAAAGAATTTTTTGCTGCTGGTTTTCAGGGGCTTGTGAACCGATGGGACAAGTGCCTCAATGTACAGGGAGATTATGTTGAGAAATAAAAGCATTTTTCAAATCAGTACTCTTATTTGTTTAAGTTCTATATCCATTTGTAACTTACTTATTGACTTACCTACATATATTGATGTTTCATCACCAGAATGCAGGCCAAAATCATAATGTAAAGAAGCTGATAGATCCTTTGAAAATGGTCAGAGTTCAGATATTTGGGAATAACACTAACAAATGAAAATTGCATTCTGAAAGGGTGATCTACCATGTGGTGTGGTGGTGTCAGTGTGTTTACCTATTACGTAGGAAGTGTGCAGACTGTTCTTTGTTTAGTCACTGCAATTTTAGGTTTTGTCTTGACAGTATTTATTTCAAATGGACACTTTATGGATCTATACACAAATTACAAACTCAATTTATGTTTTTGGAATGTATCTCCTGGTTATGGCTTCATTAAAAGACAAAACATATAGCAAAATTGTATTTTAACCCAAATAAATTCACCGTTAACACTATAAAGAGTGAGCAAATTATTTGGTAGATTTGTTGTGTCGAGGGTAAAACCTATATACAGTAAAACTTGGTTATAGCAACATCGGTTTCTGCGACACCTTGTCTATTGCGTCAACTATTCAATGGTACGAACTAATTCCTCATAAAGCAACTGTTTTTATACCTTGCTTAGTACGACATGCACAAATGCATCAACCTCGTATGTAACGTCATTTTCATTCCTGAATTTCTCTGATATGGACATTGAACGTAATTTAGAAAGTGTGTATTGGGCAAGTAACAGGAAACAGATGAAGATAACTGATTACTGTACTCGTATCTAGGTACAGTAAGGCACAACAATTGATGTAATCTACTGTAATTTGGTGAGTAGGCCTACCTTTAATATACAGTATTAGTGCGGTGTGTATTGTCAGTGAAAAGCGCTGTAATATGTCTTTGATATTACACATTTGGGCAATTCCACGTTAATGTTACGTTAGTCTGTACTTAACTACGTATTTCACTAAAAAATGCAACATTTTAACTCGGTTTTTGGTAGATTTTTACCTGACTAACATAAGGATATTGTGGAAGTGCCCATTTCGGTTACAGCGACATTCGTTTATAACGACAGTATTTTTAGGTCCCTTTGATGACGTTATAACCAAGTTCTACTGTATATAGGCAGTGATAACACAACAGGATATATCCCTTGAAAAAATGGGCACTTTGTTTACATTTTTTGTTTATAAATGTGTAATTGCAGATTGAGCAGAACCATGACCAGCCACAAAGATAAGTCAGACACTCAGGAATGTGAAGAAGCAGATGATGATCATGGTGAAGATGACAAGAAGGTGTTAGAGTCATCAGATGGAAAGCAAAACTCAAAGCAATCATTATATATAACCACAGGAAATAAATCATTACATGATGAAGGAAAGGTGTCTCAGCAAGAACATACTGAACAGAGAGATGTGTCAGAGGAGAGGTCACAGCAAGGTCAAAATTCATCTCCGGAGAGAGAGCAAGCAAGTTTACAAAGTCAGGATCAGATTGAAGCAGCTGATGAAACTGTAGATCAAGAATCTACAGAAGATAAACAAAATGTCCATGATTCTGATGTTAAAGAAGATAAGCTAGTTCAAGAATCATCTGATATGAGAGGTGATACTTCACCTGAAACTTCTGGAGAGCATCACATGGTCAGGAAGTCATGTGATAGGACAGAACAGTCCGACAGAACAGTTGAAGACAGGGTAGATGATCAGGCACAGTTAGAAGAACATGTCATAGAACAGAAAGAGGTAGAAGTGGAAGATTCATGTGAAGGAAAAGGCATGAATTGTGTCACATCAGAAGAACAGGCAGTAGTGACAGAAGAGAAAGTTGAACCTCAGAAAGCAGCGGAAGTAAAGTCACAGGCAGAATCACAAAATGTTGAAGACTCACAAGAAGAAAGATTGGAAGGCAGTGATGCAACAGTTCAGATATCAAAAGCTGATAATGATGAAGATACAAATGATAAAAATACAGCTTGTGCTGCAACAGATCAGGACAAAACTTTAATTGAAAGGGCTGAAACATCCACAGAAGTACTGATAGAAAGTTCTTCATCTGAGGAAGGACAGAAGGGAAAAGTTTTGTTAGAAGGTAGACCAGAGGAAGCAGAGCAGGTTGCAGAAGAGGCGGGTGCAGTTGAAGAGAGATTAGTTGCTCATATTTCATCAGAGAGAACCAAAGGTGAAAGGGTTGTAGAAGAGGGGCAGATTCAGGATTCATCGGAAAAATGTTCCACATCTCGTGAAGTATCCAGATCAGACGTAAGTGTGAATGATGCCCAAGTAAAAGAGAGCACAAAGGATTCATCAAGGGACAGATCAAATAAACGAACTACAATAAAACGTGTTTTCTTGGAAGAAAGTTCCCACTCTCGAGACTCCTCTGAGGAGAGACCAAGAGATGAAGTGAAAAAGCGCAGACAGAGCAGAGAATCGAACAGTAGCTGCAGTTTCAGCCCCAGTCCGGGGAAGCAGATACATCGCAGGGCTGATAGAGAGTCCACTCACCGCAACAGGATACAAGGCAATGAACATTCAGATAAACATAGTAAGAAGAGGGACAACAATAGGAACAGTAGTTCTGATAGACAAGGAAGTCGGCATTCCCATAGAAGATCTCGCAGTCCTCAAAATAGAAGAGAGAAAATATCACTGAGGAGGTCTTTGTAAGTACTGTTGAAGTTTGTAGAAGTTTTAGAAGTAAGGGTGATGTACAGAGAGATCCAAAATTTACGCATCATGCAACTGAACTACTTTATCACACCATATCAGATTAGATATTTATAAGTGTCATCTTTTATTATAACACACACACTCTTATTGTGTTTTCTGAGATACGATATCCCCTTCTTTTGATAGATATTTAGTAATCTCAGGAACCTGTGTATTATTATTATTATTATTATTATTATTATTATTATTATTATTATTAGAGGGGGTGGGTTTCCCCATGCACTTAGATCACTTATTGGTCCATTGTGCGTCCCGCTTCAATTTCTACTGTCGCCATACCCTACCGGTACTGGTGTGTGCTATCAGCCCCGTTCAGCCAACGAGGTCGGCCCTCGGTACCTGATATTTCCCCCATCTACCATAGGCATTGGAAACTACTTGGTCGGGAAATATGTTGCCTAATTTTGCTCAGAGGTCTCCTTGAGACATGATCTTTTATGTGCCGTAAATCTACGACACGGGACCCACGGCTTATAGTCCCTCCCAGAGGACTTTTTCCCTGAATTTTTTCGCCCTTAAAAATTCTACGACCTCGGCCAGCTTTGAACCCGCGTACCTTGAGTCATGAGGTGGGAACGTTACCGCTAGACTACAGAGGCCGCTATGAACGTGTATATCTGATGGCGGAGTAGTGTAACAACTCAGGTTCAGGTGAAACTGAATAGTGCTTGAACCTGTTAACCTTTCAACACTGGAAGGCATTTAAATTGCTACTCAACTCCAATGCCAGCAGCTATTTAACTAATTAAATCAGAGAATGCAGCACTTAACTTAAAACGTAATAAACTGGGAAAAACTGGAGTTTTGTTTTTGAGATTTTCACACAATGTCCAGAGAAGTATATAGAATTAGAGTATTGATCCACACTACTTTAAAATTATTTTTGGGCCATTAAGCATATAAAAATTATGAACAATAGTATCGTATTACTTTAAAAGTTCAGGTGTGTGTGGTAGTCGTGGAAACACTCAATGCAGAGGCCCACGCCACTCGCATCACACCAATACACTGTGTCCCTTCTCCTTTCACGCTTTTGACAAACAACACACTTTCTCTGTGGTCGAGATTTCTTCGCCGTTGGAGGAATCTCGCTGATAAAATGTTGTTCTGTTAGACGGGGCACTGTGTTTTCTGATGGATGTGAACCCGGCACTTATGTTCCACAGCACTCGCCTATTTCACGAACAGGCCCTCAGTCAACTGAATTATGAATGATAATTGCTGAATTCATTTGCCTGTGTTACTCCTGTACACTATCATTGAATTAAGAATTGAGGCGTTTAGGAGCCTGCGAAACAGCTTCATGTTCCACTTATTCATACGCTTCCTGTTGATCAAATAAGAGTGAAGCAACTGGTCCTTCAAATCGACCCCTCCCATTGACTTATTGTAGTCCAATACTGAAAGTGGTTTCGTCACCTCCTTGCCTCTAACTGTAACAGTCCTGGTGTCGTGACTGTGATAGGTGGAGATCATGGTGAGTGTTTTTTTGTCGAACCACTTTGTGACAGAAATGGGTCCAGAATATTGTGCCACGATTTCACCTTTTTTTAGTTCAGTGTTTTTCACTCTTGGAGGCACATTCTTATGATTCAATTTCAGAGTGCCAACACAGTGGTCTTGTGCATTATCTTCAGTAGCCTGGCTAGAGTTGGAGAATTGTAAAAATTATCCATCCACAGAGTCCGACCTTGATTCAGGAGAGGTTCTCCCAGTTTCAGGACAATGGCTGAAGTTTTGTTGGTGTCTGCTGTGATTAAGGGGGACTCAAGTTCTGTATCCTTGCCTGTATATACAATGAAGGACCATAAATACCCCGTGGTGGAGTCACACAACTTGTAAATTTTAATTCCAAATTTGGCTGCCTTCAGAGGGAGGTACTGTTTGAAAGACAGACGGACTTTCCAAAGTGTCATAGATTCGTCAACTCAAATGTCCTGGTTTGGGAGACAGAGTTCCTGAAATTTCTTATTGAGATGGAAAATTACAGGATAAATTTTGAAAAGTTTTTTTGGTCCTTCAAAAGTGCTGATGTTTTCATTGTTGGCAAAATGCAAATATTTACGTATTAGCTCCAGTCTGTCTCATGTTATAATGTCTCTAAATCTCGGTGTTGAAATTACTCTTTTTGTTGTAAAATACGACCGAATAGTTGGTTTCTGTACAATGCCCATGAGCATGAACAAACCCAAGACAACATAAATCTCTCCCTCTGTCACGGGTTACCATGCCTTACAATGCGACCTCACTGATGGTTCACGCCCCCGTAGAAACTGCTCCGCGTATCTATTTGTTTCGGCGACTATGGTCTCAGTAAGTTCCTTGTCAAAAACAACTTGAAAACGTCCACAATTTCCGTTACATGTTTCGCAGGGCCTTGAGCTCCAACACTGCCCGTGAAATGTTCTCTCTGACCCCTATAGTTCTCCATATCCTCCCAAACGAATTCTTGATTTGCACTGTCATCTTCATCGCTGCCCTCATTTCCAACAGCATCAATCAAGGCACGATCATCTAACTCGTTTTCAGTATCAAAATCCGAATCTGGCAGACTTTGTTCGGAATCACTTTCAAGCAAAGACTGTTAAGTCCTCGTCACTCAACACAGCTGAACGTCTGTTGCTTGTCGCTGCCGATCGCTGCTACATGCAAACTGTATTAGCTATTTGTGGAACAAAGGGAACCTCAAGGAATGCAAACAAGGCATTTGTTTATCATATCCAACAGCAGTCATATCAGAGGTCAACGTCACGTATCTTACTTGTTAGGTTCTACATGTGGTTTCTCATTCCGTTCAAGAGGCAGCGCTCGTCACTGGCTGAATGGAAATCGATTTTGCTTCAACCAACACGCAAGGAGATCACAGACTATCAACCTAGCATATTTAGTTCTTAACTACGCCAAGAGGTGGAGATAGATTTGTACGGCAATACTGCACCCTACGCGGCAAGCTACAAAACTTGTTCAGAGACTTCAAATGTAAAAAAAAAAAACCCGGGAAGTTCAAAGTAGGATAACGAATATACGAAATGATAGACAGAAATTTCCTCTTTAATTTCATACCAAAAGAAGACTTTACATGAAAAGCAACAGTTCAAAATAAGAGCTGAAACTTAGCACTGCACAATACGTACGACACACATTGCCTGGCGAGTTGTGGCATTTAAATGCCGATGTGCGATGTATGTCGGCCGGAACTGAAAGGTTAAGTGTAGTGGAGTGTGTAACAGGCACTGGTTCATGTCTCTAGTTTCTGTGTTTTATGAAGTTGAATGGTTTGTAGATACATGAATATTTTCTGTGTTGCAGCTCAAAGCAGAGTAATTCACATGGAAGAGAGAAGAATGCTATTAAAGAGTCTGTGAAAAAGGTTGAACCATCTACTGATGAGTCTCACCCTCATATCAGAGATGATAAAGATAAAGTATGTTTAATAATAATAATAATAATTTAGTACTTTTATCTCTTATTAGAATCTTTGAACAAGAAACCTGACATTAGAGATCATCACAAGCCAGTTAAATCCTGTGTACATCACAGTGATATATTTTCTTAGTATCCAGAGTAATAATATCGTTCTGCTATCATCCTGGTCCTCAAAAGGAGTGTTTTCCATGAGGTTTCTTCATGTAAATTCTGTACGCTTTGCTTGTTTCCCTCATCTTAGCTATTTGTACTTGTGCGGTCTATTTTAATCCTGATTTTGAAGTGCTGTAATTATGCTACAGAGTATAAATTGTGGAGTTTGTCACAGTGTCTTCACTTCCATTCACTTACAATCAGTAACAAAAATATTCTTTGTTACTCTGTTTTCACAGCGAGCCAGGATAGCCCAGTCAGTATAGTAATGGGCTACAGGCTGAATGGCCAGGCTTCGATTCTTAATGGGGGAAAGATGTTTTTCTGTGATCCACAGCATCCAGAGTGGCTCTGGGGCCCACCCAGCCCCATATACAATGGGTGCTGGGGGCTTTTCCCCCAGGGAGTAAGGTGGCCTGGGTTGTGAAGCTGACCACTCACCTCCATCTAGTGCAAGGGTCAAGAATGGTGGAGCTATATTTCCACTCCCTAATACGTCTTCATGGCATGGTGCTTAATTAAGCATGGGGACAACTTCACATTTTATCTTACCTGTTATGTTGTTTTCAGATATTTCTGTTAGTTGAAACACAGCTTACACATGTAGATTTTGGCACCTTCACTGTAACCTCCCTGTGACACCAAGCTAGTATCTGCACCTGCGCACTTTGACCCTGAAGTTAAAGGCAGCATGTTCCACCAGTGTGTCACATTCCAATCATGTTATGCATTTATGTATAGTATAAACTGCACTTTTATTCGGTAATTAACCTATAATTAATGTAAGAAATGTTTGACCTTCCAGAACTTTCACATCTCTCCATTTTCACATTTTCTCTGTTGGACGGCCATAATCTTTGGGCGAGTTCTGTTGCATATCCAGTATTCACTGTTTTGGGGATCGTAGTTGCTTTTATTGTCAACTGAGATTATTTCAATGTTTATTTTATATGCCATTGTTTTAGAAGATAATTTGATATACCGTATGAGTAAATTGCATTTTTCTGTGTGGAAACAGTTTTTGTAAGTAATTATGCACAATTACTTTATCTGAATTATATACAGGTAATCCTGTAAGAAGATGAATAGTGTCTTGATGTAATTTTATATAACCTGCATTGTGACAGCTGCTATTTAGTGAACAAAAACAGGTTTATTAAATGGGAATTTCATCTTGTTTATTTGTATAGTTTATTTAAGGATACTGTCAGTAATTCAGACTACATAATTTCACTTTCACTTGTTAATGTTTGTATGTGTGAAGTGTATTTTCCAATTCTCCAAACAGGTAAATGTGACAGTCAAGAAGGAAAAGAAGGAATATGGGAACATGGCATTCATGAAAGCCTTTCTCCATTATAGTGTTCAGTTACCTTGTATGTTCTCTTTGTTTCAGGAAAATGTCCGGAAGACAACTGAACAAACAGGTAAAGGCATCTTGAAATATTTTTGTGATTAGATAAACGTTTTTTTTTCATGTGCTTAACCTTTGGCGTCAAGGTAGATAGGGAGCATGGTTGTAAAACTCCATGAATTCTTTCTGGTGTCCTGCTGTTGGTTGCTCAGATATAGGGTGATTCATATAGAACTGGCCCAACGAAATGAGCTGTAATATAAAATATACCATACAGATGTTAAAGTAATTTACACATATCTTATCTTGGATTGTGTGCCGTGATCAGAGCAGGTGTTGAAAGTGTCCACCGTTTTCAAGTAGGCACGCCTCCACCCACGTTTGTATATTCGCCGTGACTCGCTGCAGTGTTTCTTCAGTGATGTTCCTGATTTCAGCCAAAATGTTGTCCTTTAAATCCTGTAACGTACGCGGTTTGTTTGCATACACCCTGTCTTTCAGTAAACCCCAGAGAAAAAAATCTGGGCTGGTAAGGTCGGTGGATTTTGGGGGCCACATCTTTTTAGAGATGATGTGATAGGGGAAGAAGCTCTCAATCAGTTCCACGGACATGTTGGACGTGTGGCACATTGCTGAATCCTGCTGAAAATAACCCTGTGTAAGTTCCACATCATCCAGCTGCTGCACAAAATCGTAAAAAATACGGCAGTATAAGGTGCTGTCCACGGTCGCGTTGAAGAAGATCGGTCCAATGATTCGTAAACCAGAAATGGTGCACCACACACCCACTTTTTATGGGTGTAGTGGTGATTCAGCAATCTCATGTGGGTTTTCAGATGCCCAGATCCCGGAATTTTGTGTGTTTACATATCCTGATAGGTGGAACCATGCTTCATCACTAAACCAAGTGATATCCAAAATTCTGGGGTTATCGTGCACGAATTCCCGAAACCACAAACAGTACCGTACCTGTTTATCTTTATCAACATCACCCAATTCCTGAACACTGGTGATCTTGTAGGGATGAAGATTCACTTTCTTTGCAGCCCGTTGACACGTTGAATAAGGATACCCAGTTTCCTGGCTTAGATGTCGTAATGATTTCTTGGGAGACTGCAGTAACCTGTCCCTCTTCTGGCATTTCTGGGCGGTTTTTACCACGTTCACTTAAAAGTGTCCCTGTCCTTTCCAATTTCTGAGCCAAGGACTGTATAGTTGATTTCGCTGGCTTCTTGCGAACTCCAAACTTCCTCCTGAATTCCAATTGTATGTGCGCATTGGAGCCTGTCACCCAGTACGTGCGCACGAGAAACACTTGCTGTTCAACATTGTACTCCATGACTGTCGCCTGCACACTGCAGACACGTTTCAGAATTGTCCTTGACCTTGCAGCATAAGGGCTGCAACTTGCCGGATCATGCAAACACCATTGGACTCAGCATGGCCCACGGATTATTATGTCGTAATTGTGAGTGGTTATATGCATCACCTGCGGAATTATTAGCAAATTCCTTGGGCCAGTTCTATACGATTCACCCTGTAGTTCAGTCTGTATAGCTATGGGCTGTACAGCTGGGGTTCGATTCTGGGCAAGGGCAAGATTTTTGTCTTCTCTGTGGTGTTCAGACTTACTCTGGAGTCAACCCATCCTTCTGTCCAATGGGTGATGGGGGCTCTTTCCCCAGGGGGTAAAGTGGCAGGGACATTAAGCTGACCACTCACCTCCAGCTAGTGCTAAGGTCAAGAATGGTAGAGCTATGCATCCACTCCCCAACACATCTAAATGATGTGCTTAATTAATTAACCTAAATGCCAGACTTTTTAAATGGTTGTAGGGTGAGCTGGACACAGTTTATTTAAATGCCCAATGCTGTTGGGTGTTTAAATGTCTGTTGCTGATTGGTGTTTTAAATAATTTTAAGCACTTTATTAAACATGCTGTATCTAATACAATTTTTGTGATAAAGGAATGGAATTAACCTTATTTTTATCAGCAAAGAACATAATCTTATATAACATAAGATTTGAAAATGTATAGGCAAACAAAGTTATGCTTTTTTCATGCATGCTATACAAAAGAGTTTCCCATTTACAAAGTGGTTCTGCATTATAAAATTATTCTTTCATGTAACCCTTGACATACTTCTCCTGTCTCTTGTGTTGTAAAACATCTAGAATCACTAAAATATACAGGAAATCAACACAGACCTTATAATACCTAACAGTTCATGTCACGCTTATGAATATAAACTACTGGGTATAAGGTATCTGCTCAACTGACTACACACATATCCAATTACTAGAGAATCAAAACAAACAGAAGATAACAAAATAAAAAACATCCTACAAAAAATGGATACAGCACAAATCTAATTACAAAACCAGTACCACATAAACAAAATATACAGGAAAATCCAGACCGTCAAAAAACAAAATGGGCCATTTTACATACTGAGGAAGGGGAAATAAGACAAATAAGTTATTAAAAAAGACGCAACTTAGAATAGCTTTTCGCACAAGAAGCACAATCAGCAACATACTGAAACAGCACACAGAGACAAATAAGTACAACAGTAGTGGCATATATCGGATGAAATGCTTGGATTGCCCTTTGAAATACATTGGTCAAACCGGAAGAACATTTACTTTAAGATATAAGGAACACATTCAAGCCATTAGAAGTAACTGTAGCAAATCTGGATATTCAAACCGTGTTAAATACGGGACACTCATGGAAAAATAACGGACATTATGGACGGAAAAGCAGACATTTGAACCCACTAGAGAGAGATCACATTTACAAAGTATGCAAGAGCAATTTACATATGAACGACCTAGACATAGAGGCATACAATCAGATATTTCAGACAGTGTATGAACTTTGCAATAGATAGGACTAGATACACTAACTAGAAAGATACATAAGCAGGAACAACTACACTATGTTTAGTATACAGGAAGACCACACTAGTAACACATACACAAGAGAAATACGACACACAAAAATATAAGTACACAGAATTGTAACATTTGATATATGGAAACAACACGATAGAAAATCATGGTTTGTACTAATCATACTAATACACATTATACATTGCTGTACGAAAGCCGAAAGTCATGAGATAAAACTAAACAATGACGTGCATGGGAGCACTGTGGACAAGTGAACAGTGCTGTGGTCTCCCCAGAAACAAAAGAAAAATTGCCTGATGATAGCCCACGTACAGCCGAAACGTGTTGTAAACTGAAGAAGCATATGTAAAACTAAAGAGGTGTTAGTAATTTGATAATCACTTTTAATGTATAAGTTATATTTTTAAGTGTCCTAATGACATTTTAATGATTTTAAACATCATGAAGTATTGAAGTTACATTTTTAGGGAGAAACATATTCTAGATGTCTGTTATATTGTTGCGATATTGATGGGTGCTTTAATAATAAGGATAATGCCTCAGTGCAATGGGATGCTAAAATTAAATATAACATCAAATAATTCTAGTTGTGCCATAGTTCAGGTGGTTAGGTGATGGCTCCTTGGTGCCTCAGGTTCAATCCCGAATGATTCAGTGTCATTCATGTAGGATGAAGTAACACTAGAACATTTTTTCTCCGACTTTCTCAGTTTTAATTTGCTGTTCATTGTTCACCATTGCTCCATACCCATCTGCCATTGCAGGGCCATAGCCCTGAAAAGGAAGCACCTTGTCATATCCTTGGTGTTTAAATCAGATGCTTAATCTCTGGCGTGGCATTTGGCTGGTTACATAGTAAGGAAGGTAATCAGTTTTACCAAGTATCTGCACAGTGCATGGTGTATCTTGTTCAGAACAGATGAATAGGAAATTTAATCATCACTGTGGTCTCCAAATTCTGTTCAAACTTTTACATCTTTTCTCTTTTACTGGCATGACATGATGCCTGAAAGATGGAATAATGGAATCAAAAGAGGTTGTCATTGGTAGGCAACAGCCCGCTGAACACACTCCCAGAGCAATGGATAAGTGCAACAATAGATGAACTGCTGGAAGTAGTGTTTATTGGGTTGTTGCCTAGCCTCCTATTGTGTGTGTTGCCAGTATTTTTTTTGGGTGGAGGAACAAAAAAATTTGCTTACCTATTGTGACGTACCACCAGGAAGGCCAGATGATCAATAGCTAACAATTCCTGGGCAGCAATGCCTAGGAAATCGTTGCCCCAGAGATTAAAGTCTAACAGTGGTGTTTCCACCATTACAAACAAACTGTTTGAGACAGTAAAAATGTATTCGCACGGCAGCAAGAAATTTGGTGCATAGCAGCGGGCGAAACTAAACCATTCAACAAGGTGTTCCCTATTCAGCCTGAGTCCATATATAACAGTCCATATCCGATGAAAGAGTTTGTACCCAACGAGAGACCAGAGTTAGCTTTGACAAGAGCTAAGGACTGTTGAGCTCTGAGCAGAGCAGAAGACACTTCACCGAGATTAGCTGTGCAAGAGTGTACAACATTGAAGTGGAAACGTCCGAAGACGTTATAAGTGTGAATAATTGTATTTGTGAGTGTAAAGAGTGGTCCAAATCTGAGACCCACATAAATTTCTTGTCGTATTGCCTAGGAAACACGCGACAATATTTACGAAGTCATTTAAAAGCTGTGTTTACTGATTATCCAAGAGTATTCAGGACAGAAGCATAAATTAAAAAAAAATGTAGTTTCCCCCCCCCCAAAATGCCCTTACCAATCTGGATGAATTAAGCAAAGGCCTGAAAGACAAGAAAAGAAACTTAGAAAACAAAAAAATGGAAAATTTAGTAATATAGGTAATGCTGACAAAAATAAAAGAATATCACTATAGAGCCTTTATTCAAGACTATAAAAAGATGAGAAGCAGAAATTCAGGGTCTCCATCCAGCTCAAGCCAGTCTTGGATATTTTCTTGCATGGTTTAAGTCTGTCCAGCCGACCTCAACACATGCTGAAAGTCGGGTTGCTCGTAAATCCCATCTCTCTTAAAGTATGTACTCAACTGTGAACAGAATTTTTCTTATTTTGTATTTTCTTCTGGATTATCTGACATGAAGATTAACTGTATCTGGTTAGTGAGGGTTTACTTACTTACTTACTTACTCATGGAGCTGAGCTCTTCTTGAAGAGCTGCCAATTCTGCAGCTACTCAAGAATTTCCCAGCATTTTATGGCACCCGAAGGTTCATCACCATGTTCACAAGAGCCTCCACTGGTCCCTATATGGAGCCAGATTTATCCAATCCATACCATCCCATCCTATCTCTCTAAGATCCATTCTAATATTGTCCACCCACCTACGCCTTGGTCTTCCCTGTGGTCTCTTTCCTTCTGGCTTTCCCACCAATATCCTATACACATTCCTCATCTCCCCCATTCGTGCTACATGACCTGCCCACCTCATCCTCCTTGACTTGATCATTCTAATTATACAGGTCATGTATTAATATTTGGTTTGTTTTTCAATTTTGATTTTTTTTTTTTTTTCCAAAAATTTCTGGGGGGAGTGAGAAGTTGCATGAACCCACATAGACACATACCACAGGTGCCCATATCTCCAACATGCACCCAAATCACAAAAGTGTCCCCCCCCCC